GTGATAAGGTCAGTAGGGCCTGATAGGAATTCAGGGCTCTGATCTCACTGGAGAATCAAGGCTTAGGAACAGGCACAAATGAAACTATTTTCTCAGCAGATATCAGAGGAGGGTGTTAGAAAGATTTGTCTTCTGTTTGTTTTGTTTTTTTTTTCTTCTCTAGAGCAGTTTGAGAAAGACATAGATTGATAGAAGTTAATATTTGTGGGAGGTGTGGGGTAAAATGAAGGTTTTGGGTGAAATTTCATAATCATCATGAAGTTAGGAGCACTTTTTATCTTCCCCATTTAGTGGGAAATACTGGCTCTTTGAGTGAGGAGTAATTTGAATCTATATTGGCCTCACTGCATGAGAAGTTTCAAGAGAAACTTACTATAGCTTAACTAACGCTGTTACATTTCTCAATTGCTTTGATTATGGAACTTAATTATGAGGAGGAAGAGTTAGTAAAATGGAAGACATTAACATGGGCTTACTATACCATTAACCAAGAGCCCATATGAGTCTACAGGGTGGCTCCAGGGCATAGGTTAATGGAAAAGTAAAGCAAAGCAAAACAAAAGTTATGACGCCTTGTCCATTTGCTGTATCTGTGCATGCTACGATTTTTCTGTGCACTTTTCCAAACTCTGATGTGAGATGTCATGGGTCTAATCGTATAGATTTTATATTATGACTATTAAGTATTTCAGGAGAAAGTATTATATTGTCCCCTGACTGCTTGAGTTATAGTTCCAGATACAGAAAGTTACTGCTTGTTTATATATTCCAGTTCTTCGAGGCTTGGTCTCCTACAAACTGAGCCAAAATTCCTGTGTATTGCAAAAGCTTAGCACAGGCTGCAGATTCCCATTGTTGGTCAGACAGTTATTGTTCAGCCCAGTGCTTGCTGCTGCATGGATGTACCCTCAGCCCATCTAAGAGTATTTTAATGTTGGTAATAAGTGTGGAAAGTTTGCTGGAACATTGAAATTTATGAAAGTAATATGAATGTAACTATCAAATTATGTTAAATAGAGCCATTGTGCAACTGGGAACACTAGGAACATGTGATAGTACTAATATTCCTCAACTGCAAGAACAAGGCTTGATCCTGGAAGTGAGAAGCACCTGAGATTTACTCTAGAATACCCAAGTTGAAGATACCTCTGCTGAGCTGTAGTGGCTCCTTTGATAGACCTCCCATGGAGAGACACAAGCATCCTTCTACTCTCCCAACACAGGTCTGCCCTGAGGCACCTCCAGACTGTATGATGCACTTTTGGATGCTGAGCCACACTGGGTGCACAGGCACTGCTGTGCAACTCCAGACCATCCACATGGCTTTAGTTACAGTCTGTGTTGTGAACATTTACTCTTAAAAGATGGCATAGGTCTGTCCAGTAAATGTTTTCCAGTGTAAGAACAGTGCCCTTACCTGCCCTATCCCAGCTTCCCCTCCTGCTATTCCCCATGAGGGCCATTTCCACTCCAGCAGTGGGAGGAGCTACACAGGACACACAGCATTTCAGGTAGTTAGGATCCTCCAGAATGAAAAGTCAGCCAGAAATACGAGCTTTTGTTATTGTGATTCAATGTTCATATGTTATCACCATTGAAAAGTGCAGATGCAGAGCAGTTCTGAAGATGAGGCTTCTCATAGTGGGGGTTCAGTGTTAGAAATCTGGTTCCTAACACGTATCCTCCTCTGCTCTGGCTTCCCATCACTGAAATGGCAATAGGAGCCAGAATATTTAGTACTGCAGGACCTGTGTTACTCATGTCAGTCAGTACTTAACGAATGAAAGACCACATCCAAATATCCTTCTCTCTTTGCTTTCAGGCTGTAGCAAAGCTGATGTCAGTGGATTGCCGTTGTCACGGTGTTTCTGGGTCCTGTGCTGTGAAAACTTGTTGGAAAACGATGTCCTCCTTTGAAAAGATTGGCCGGTTTTTAAAGGATAAGTATGAAAACAGCATACAAATATCAGACAGACTGAAGAAAAAGCTACGCAGGAAAGAGAAGAGCCAGCGAAAAATGCCGATCGGGAAGGACGACCTGCTCTACGTGAACAAGTCACCCAACTACTGCGTCGAAGACCAAAAACTGGAGATCCCTGGGACTCAGGGGAGGGAATGTAACCGCACCTCGGAGGGACCCGACGGCTGCAACCTCCTTTGCTGTGGGCGTGGGTACAACACCCACGTCGTCCGGCACGTGGAGAGGTGCGAGTGCAAGTTCGTCTGGTGCTGCTACGTGCGCTGCCGGCGCTGCGAGAGCATGACCGACGTGCACACCTGCAAGTGAGGCCGGTGCAGAGCCCGCAGCCACAGCGCCCCGGCCCGCTGGCACCTGCAGCTGCCACACGGGCAGCGACTGCTGGCACCCCGCGGGGCTGCAGCGGGACCAGCCTCTGGCAGTGGGTGTTGCCAAACAACGGGTTGTCCGAGCATTTGGTGTATGGAAGTGCAACGGAGTGAAGCGCAGCCTGCACGCAGGGAGAGCTAAAACAACAAAAACAGACTCCTGATGACTTATTTGAACATGTAACTACGTGAGCGGGGACAGACACTAAACTTTCCCGGTCTTTAATAGCCACAATATCCTGAAGATCCACATGATCGTTAGCTACAGTGGACAAAACTCAAGATCTCGTTAGCCGGAGACTGAAGGGTTAAGAGGGCGTGTAAGACACATTAGATATAATCTTTATGTCTGTATTTTTAGAACTGGGACTAGATGAATCCACTAGATGGTTCATTTCTGCAAGCTTTAGGGCAAACAAAACCAGAAACAAGGATAGGGGAACCATTCTGCTGTTGACCCTCATGCATTTGCATTGCAACCGTTCAGAAAGCTGTCTTCTGTATAATATGCAGAGAAGCAACTGGTACAGGGAAACATGAGTGACTACAGAGAGCTGGGCACTGCCTGGGTGGGTCCACTGGCATGGAGCAAGCTGTGTCCAGAGTAGAGGGGCTGCAGCACAGCTTGATGAATGTGAACATCGTACCAAATAGCAACCTCAGGGCTTTTTTATAGATTATCTTTCGAACGCACAAGGGGCAGGTTTGAAGAGGATCAGAAATAGTTTGCTATTTGAAGGGAGTAAAATCCTTCGCAGCCATTCCCCCAGTTTCTGAACACACAATGTGTGAGTCAGGTGGCTGTCACCAACCAGCTGTTGGACTGTGTGCAGTAACCTGCCACGTCCGACCGTCTCGCTGATGGGTCACTATCATTTTCACAGTTAGCTCTGTGAGATTCAGCCCAAAGGCATCTGCCATAAAGTGAAAGATTTTTATTAACACATTGCTTTCTATTATGCAAGCAGCAGCTAGAACTTTTCATTAAGTTGCATCCTAAGAAAGTTCAATGCACAGTGTAATCAATGGGTTGTCTCACACCACTGAAATATTTAAACTGTTATTGATAACATTTTCTCCCCCTCCATATGTTGGCTCAATTTTATTTTGCATCTCTGTAACTTGTTTATTTTTATGCAATGATTTAATGCCTGGCTTAAAAAGCACTTCTGTTGTTTAAATGTGCAAAGACCTATTTTTGATAAGACAAGAAAGTTTATATTTTGTAAATATTTAAATTATGCAAGTTATGTAAAAGGTTTCCAAAACTAATGTGATAAGATTACAGCCTTTGGTATTTGTTGGTTAGATATTTGTTACTGTTGTAGTAGCATTGAACTGATTTTTATTTGTGTGTGCAGGGGGACATTAGTCAGAGAACTACATAAGCATTCTTTTAGTTACCATCGGGATGATTATCATTATTGCAGTTAATACACACTGATGAGAAACACTTACTATGATTTTCTAAATGACCAGTTAATTAATATTCTTTTTACTTTTTTTTTATTCTTATTATTTTGCATCCATTTACAAACAGTGAAATGCCAGCTCCAGTGGTAAGTTCAGAACTCCCACTGACATCAAGGGGACTTGCAAAGGTTTGCAGTCTGTGAACTTAGTGCACACTAACAGTTTTTAGAAAGACATAATCCTAGGCAGTTTGGTTGAGGCTTTCAAAGTTACCTTGTGGAATTCCTAGCTGTCAGTTATTTTCCTGTGCAAGATGGTGACCAGATTCCTTGTCACTCTTTATTGGATGTGTGGGTCAGGATGAAGCAAACAAAATCTTCTGTGTTGTGGTACATCACTGCCTTATGTGGAGTGAACATAAGGAACAGCAGTTCAGCAGCCAAGAAGTCCTTTTTCTGCTGGTTCTTTTTGGACCTTCTATACACATGTGACCAATCTGTCTCCATTGACCTAGCCAGATAATTATCCTGAGGTCACAAAATCTGCTGCCTGTGAGAAGGGTACTGTAGATGCTAGACACAGTCACAAGAGGATTCAACACCCTCCCTGTGAAAACGTGGATCAGGGGAATGCATCCTGATTGGAGACTCTGAAGAAAGAATTGTGAGCCCCAGGTTGTTCCCATCTTTCAGCAATGAAAGTAAACCCACAGGCTCTGCCACAGCACCTGCTGACAGCATGGGTGCTGGTCACTGTTGATATGAAGGTGTTGCAGAGACTACCTCTCTCTTTCTGAATCTGCCTTACATCAAGCTGCTGGCAGAGGTAAGTGCCTCAGTACCCTACGTGAGACTGTTCCTAGTGGTACCTCATCTGAATTCAGTGTTGAGGTCACCACCATTTTGTTGTATGGGGCTCCAGCAGGAACCAGCTACTGGGAGTTCAGTGCAGAGACCAAGATCTCAGGTCCAAATTTGTCTCAAAACCAGTTGAGCTTTTTACCAGACCTAAAGGTTCTTCCATGCCTGATCTGTAAAGTAAGGAAAATCACCAATGTATTTCTCAATATGCCTTAACTTCTGGCAGGGTAGGAAATGGTGAGAAAATGGTCCTGGACTCCTGGGTCTAAGGTCAGCTTGAGGGACCTGCCCACGAGAAAAATCTTGGTAGGCTGTTCCTGTGGGTTTGAAGAGAAAGGTCTCTCACATCAGCATTGCACAGAGATGTGGGGCAGTCATGATGCAGACAACACAGTCAGGGTGTCTCCTGCCTTCTTGGCTAGCCAGTATTGGACACTGCATTATTTTTGAGAGGTCATCTAATTAAAAAAAAAAAAAAACTTTGTTCTTAAATGTTCTTAATAAAAGATTTTTTTTTCTGGTTTTGCTGGGGGGGAAGTTTATTTTTTGAAAGAATGATGAAAGACAATGAAGAGAAGTGGCAGCACACATGGTTTATGAAAGCTGCAATAGCTGAGAAAAAAAAAGACTAACAGGGGTTTGAAGCTTCCCTGGCAGCAGGAGGACCAATCTTGCCTCTGAGAAGCAGAAGAGACCTGTTTCATGTGAGGTAGCATTACCCTTTCTGCACCAAGGGCAAAACACTGGTGAGAGCAAGTGCATGGGATCTGAGGGCCTGCTGCTCACTCTCCTGCTGCAACAACACTGGGGGCTTGGAGGTGAAAGCAGAAGCAAAGCTGAGTGCACTGGGGAGGCTGGAGCATGAGTCCCTCTACCTATCGTAGCTGAAACTGCTGTTTAAGTTAAGCTCCACTATAACTTATTGAAGTTACATCCATAAAACCAGTTCTGGATGGGCAGCATCCGTAAAAGGAATTTCAGATGATCAGGATATGTACATTGTTTTGTAGTAGCATCAGGGCTAAAGAAATTAGTTGACATCTATCACGGTATTTATTCCACAAAACTGCTTTTACTTTTTCTATGCTCTGGAAAAAAAAATCTGTCCTTGGGTGAGAGCAAGAGGGAGAACCATCTGTCTGTAAGACAAGCATGCCTCCACTCTCAAAGAGAAGCTTGTGTGCATATGACATATGTGGTTCAGCTACTTTTGTGGGCATATGGCTCTGGGATGGATTTTATTCACTTGGTTAACAGGGTAGGGTTTTTTTCCCCGTGCTGGAACTGGAGGATCAAGGTTGTTGACACGGGAAGTATAGCCATCTAATACTCTTGTATAGCTTTGCAATAATATAGCCTTTCTGTTTGAAAGTAACTACATGAGTGCTCACCTGAGAAAGTGAGGGTAGAAAAAAAAAAATTTGGAAAGAATTTCACCGTCTGAGTCAGGGAAAGGTCTTACCTCAGTCCTGTTCCCTCACGCTGCCCTGGTATGCATGGAGCAGCAGTTTCTGGAAAGTAGCAAACCTATGAAAAATGTCACAAGTTTACTTTTGGAAAAAGGATAATTGTAACCTCTTCTGAAAGTGAAAATGATATAAGCTGTTTTGAAAACAGAAATGTATGTGCACTGGCTGCGTATTTTAAGAGCAAAGTTGTGTTGTTGATGGCAGTACTGACATAGTCAGAGGAGTTACTGGAGGAATACAGCTGGTGAGTCTGTTGACATGTCAGCCTGTGCCTTCAGCAGCAGCTGAAGAACATTGTCTTGTCCTTGCCTGTTGGAAATCCTTTGTCAAAAGATGTGTAGTAAATGAAGATTATCCCAGTTGCTATCAAAATGTCTCTGCTGGGCAGCTCTTTTCAGTGAATGACAAGTATGTGAAGCACACGAGTAAAGTAAATAGCAAAAATTAGCATGGGTCATTCAGAGGAAATGATGTTAAAAAGACATCCACTTTGGCTGAGGTTGCTGACAAAACTGAGATGCTTGATTTCATCAAAGGATGAGGTTTCACGAGATAGCAAATTTGACTTTACAGTGGTTCCTCATAGATCAAAACTGTCAGGGCCAGGGCATGTAGAGTGCTGAACCCTTACCAACTCACTCTGCTGGTTAAAAATGTATTAAAAACTTGTAAAAGGGTCATCCTACTGTGGCAGACTTCATGCCAAATGGAGACGTTGTGCGAGACTTCATGCCACTGTTTGTCTGAGACCTCTAACTTATGTTAGATATCAGACAGGGTGGGATATCAGGAAGCATCAGAGTGGAATAAATGTTATTATTTGTTCTAGATAATCTGCCAAAAGTGTCCATTCTGAATCCTTTCCTGACTGTATCCCATCTGTCCTGCCAGGTGATCTGGAGCACACAGATCCAGCAGCAGTAGTAATGGTGAATGAGGTATCACAACTTTATTTTTAAATTCATGCAAGGATTTTCAGTAGTAGTTTTTAGGATTTTACACACTTTCACAATTTTTACTGTTAGTGAAAATTTGCACAGACAATGGCTAACAGTATGTAATGGAGAAGCAGAGTTTCACACCCATACATTCCAATGAGCATCACTAAGAAATGTAATAGTAATATTCTGACCACAAATGAAAAAAAAAAAAAACAAAAAAAAACCAAAAAGTGAGCTCTCCTGCTCACCTCACCAGCC